TGGCTGCGTCAAAGCCCATGACGTGCTGGGTCCCTGTAACACGCTGTGTCTATACAAAGGGACAGAACGCCACTGCAGAGCAGGCTTCGCGCACGCAGGGGACCATGGGCCTGGTGGGAGCAGAGCAGCCTCCCTGAGATCCTGCTGGCTCACTCCGGGCACAGTGGATGCAGAAATGACAAGATGAGGCCCCTGCCCCTGCCCATGCTGGGTGACAGGCAGATAAGCACGCGCACAGCAGGAAGATGCAGTCTGCTAGGGATGGAGGAGAAATCACTCAGAACCGGCTAGATGGCAGACAGGCAGGATTTCTGTCCCCCAGAGTGGAAGAATGAATTCCAAGGAAAAAACTGGTGAAGAGTAGGAAGGCTCATTGAGAAAGCTCCTGAGAGACAGAAGGCCTCCTGAGTGGAAGGCCATGGAGGGGCCCTTTGCCATTTACACTGAAAAGTCACAATGTGGTATGACAGAGGGAACCTCCAAATGACACAGGGAGAAAAACCGATCTCTCACCCTAACAGGTACCTGGGCCGAGTTCGTGTTCTCTAAAACCAAAGAATGGGGGCCAGGGAGATAGTTCGGTAGAATAAGCGCTTGCCTCGCAAGTGCAAGGGCTTGAATTCAATCCCGGGTTCTGCCAAAATAAATAAATAAATAAATAAAACCAAAGCATGAATTTTAGGAACAAATGGAGGTTATAAGCAGAATATATTTATTGAGGGAAAGAAAGCTCCTGTCTGAGAGAGGGACAGGAGGGGAGCCCGAGTGGGTTGTTGCCCCAGGAAGTTGTCTCTTCCAGGGACTTTTCTAGAGGAAAACCATGGGGTGAGGCAGGTCTAAGGTGGTGGAGAAAACATTGGAACTCGCCTAGGTGGGCATGAGGTGGGACAAAACTATGGTCAGCCAGCGAGGTTACAGGCACCATTGCTCAGGTAAAATTGATTAAATCCAGTACCAAATCGGGAAGTGAGTCACGTAGCAGGCTGGCATGAATATAGGACAGGGTCTCTTCCTGTTGGGGATCGGGCTAGTGACTCATTTGGGCTCTTTCACAGTGATTGATACCTATTTAGAATATCAATCCCTGATGCCCATCCTTTGGGAAGTCTGTAGCTGTTTCCTCTTTTGTCTTGGTCTTGAGGTGTGGTCCATACAAGAGGGTCTGTCTCTTCCAAATTGCAAAGTCACCTTGTCTTCCATGTTTTCTCCTTGAGGGCCTGGCCCTGTCTGACTGCCTGTAATATTTCTATCTAATTCAGCTGCCTACAACAGGTACAGTGTGGGTCAAAACTATCATCGTCCATAAGACTGTCGTCACTGAGCTAATACCCACTAGGGAAGGGAGGCACGTAGCGGGGGTATATGGCTGGCGCCAGTAACCTTCACACGATGACTTCTGAAACAAACATCTGGAGGAAGGGATGGGTCCAGATCCTCTGGTCACCCACCTACCTGGGCATCTGATGTGGACTTAATGGCCCAGCTGGTACTAATTACAATACAATCTCAAGTTATTGTTTGTCCCTTAGGGAGGCAGGTAGGCCTGACCTCACATCTGTATATTGAGCTTGGCCTTCTTCAGAGGTGCCTCTAGCCCCAATTCTGATGTCTTTATTTTTTTCTGCTGATTTCCTGGAGGGCCCAGTCCCTCTCCAACTGTGTATTAATTTCTGTTTAGCTTGACTGTCTGTAATATTGGGACCATGACAGTGTCCTAAGGGATGGATGGGTCAAGAGGCTGGAGTACAACCCAGTCTGCTTTTTTTTTTTTTTTTTTTAATCTGAGCAGGGTACAAGGGTTCGCCTCATGGCACAGTGGCTCACTGGTCTCCATCCTATCTGGAGTAGGATTTGACCAAAGTCTGCAGCATTCCCCAAGTGGGAAAAACTGATAACACCAGCAACAACAAAATAACAGCGAACCTGGGAGGCAGAGACCACGGGTGTCTCACGGAGTCTTCCCCGGCTGGGCTGGCAGGTGGAGATGGTGGGCTGTCTCATGGAATCTTTGTATTCATACCCGGAAGCACAGATCCTGCTGTTTCCCTCATTTTGCACTAAAATTGAGCCTCCCAGGGTTCTCTGATTTTCCCAGAACACATTGCTAGCCTGAGGCCTTGAACCCAGCCCTGGAGGGCCCAGCACTAGCCATTAGCTGCTCTGTTCTCCTTGCTCACGGAGGGAGCCTTCCTGGTTATTACAGCCCATTGAACACAATCCTGAAGGCAGGTTCCTTTCGAAATGAATGCATGCACATTATATGCTTCAAAATAAATCCTTGAGGTGGGGGTGTGTTAAGGAAGAGGAAGGCATTTGGAGAAGAGGATGCACATCGACTATTCCTTTGATAGAATCTTCTCCTTCAATAACTAAATAATAAAAATAGTAATAGTTTCCTCTGATCTAAAGTTTCCTCTGATCTTAACTTTCTGGTTAAGTAGTTTGGAGTGCATTTTGTGGCTGTGCGTGTTCTTGGGTCTACAGTATTTGCCTTCAGGAAGTGTTCACCTGCATTTCCCTTCCGGAAGCGGTCACCTATAGTATTCCCTTCCGGAAGTGGTCACCTACACTTGCCTTCCGAACGTGCGCCTTCTGGAAGTGTGTCCCTCTGTGGCTGTGCTCCAGCAGACCAGCTTGCTGCTTTTCCTTCTGGGGCAGCTGCAGGTGGGGAGGCAGTCCCTCCCAGACATGCAGCAAGGGGACGTGGAATTGCTGCTCCCTGTCTGAGAAACGCTCCTGGCAGGATTGTTGTACACTGAGGTACATTTAACTGCTTACACCCCTTGTAATTTGGGGAGGAGAAATTCAGACATCAGTTGTGTTTAGCCATGCCCCAGGAGATTAAGTCGCCTTCACCTTGAATGTTTGTGCTTTGTAGCTGTCACTTTTGTGCCTTCCTTCTCTTCTCAGCTTGCTACAGGTCAGGTACAGCACAGGTCCCAAAACCCTGGCTCCTAATGTAGGTGCCAAGTGTAGGAGGTAGGAGGGCAAACCAAAGAGACCACTGAAAGCAGGGGTGGTGGCACATGTCAGTGATCCTAGCAGCCTGTGAGGCTGAGGCAGGAGGATGGCGATTTTGAGCCCAGCTTGGGCAACTTAGCAACTTAGTGAGACCCTGTCTCAAAGTAAAAAAGGACTATAAAAGTCAGTGTAAAGGCCCTGAACTCAAGCCCCTGTACCTTTAACACACACACACACACACACACACACACACACACACACAGAGGCCTCGAGGCTTGCTACCACAGGGCAGAATGACCTGTCCCCCAGCTCTGGTCCTGTCTATGTGACATCATGGAAAGCTTCCAGCCCCTCACCCCTTTCTTGGCTCACCTGTAGTGAGGCTCCTGTTGGGATCTCAGGCCTCTCTGAACCACAGTAGGAAACCCTAATGGGTTTTCTGCATCCCTCTTGGTATCTGGACCCCTGTACACCTCTCCTACTTCCCTGTATCTATGAGATCAGCCCCAGAAAGTGTCCTGTGAAAGAATGACAGGGGAACAAGGATCCTTTCACCCATTCCCAGTCCTGACAAGGGAGAAGGTGAGAAAAAAGTAGACACAGAATACAAGGAAAGACTGACACTTGGGGAAGAAAGGCGGCGCTGAAAAAGCATAGAAATGACTCCTGAAAGATCTTGGCTGTCTGCCTGTCCCAGAGCTTGGTGACACAGCTATTTTGGGTCACCTTATCGCATGCTGGCAGTACCCAGTGCAGCTGTGGGGCTTACTTTTATGGTGTGCATGTAAACATAGGCACATAGGAACACACACACACACACGCACACGCACACGCAAATGCACACAGTGCAGGGCTCTTGATAAAGGAGAGGAAACGTTACTGTTTTACCAAGCTCCACCTCCTGTGTTGTTTACAAGATTGCATTTCCCCCAAGAAAGCTGGAAGAGCGAGTGTGATTGCAGTCCCCGAGATGTCAGCCTGGGGCCTGGCCCAGGAGGCCTCTGTCTCCCATACGTCTCCTCTGATATTTCAAGTATTTCTTGTGGCTCAAGTGGAATGATCTAAGTTCCGGGCACGAGGCATTTCCAGAGCCATGTCGTGTGCACGGTGTCAGGGGCTGGAGCTGCCTCAGCGTTCAGCAGTGACCATTCTGCCCTTGACGCAAAACCAGGGCTGGGGGTGGGGCCGTAGCTCGGCGGCAGAGCACACACTCGGCTAGCATGTGCCAGGCCCCAGGGATAAAATAAAACTGGGATGGACTTTTTCTCTCCTTGTACACTTAGCCTTGACGGACTCGCTCAGCATGTGTGCCTGACTGAGGCGCTAGGGTCAGAGGGTGTGATTGGTCAGTGTGAAGAAATGCTCGGTTGAAAATAGGAAAAGGCATGCTTTTTAAGGAAAAACAACAGAGGCTGTGAGGACGCTATGAAATTCTCATGGAGAGCACAAGAGATGAGAAACACGGACCGTGTGAATCGCATAACCACCAAGCACCTTTTGTGTGCCAGGAAGTAACTGGGTTCTCTGGACAAGGAATAAAACACGAGACGATACTGTAAATGACGCCACTCTCCACAGATAGAAGGTTGTGCCATTGTTAAGCGACAAGGGGACAACTGTGTCTTCAGCAGCGGCACAAGTCAGGAATTGGGAAGTGTGTGCTGCTCCCACGCGACAGATCCTATTACAGCATTGTTACCTCTGTGTGTGTGTGTGTGTGTGTGTGTGTGTGTGTGTGTGTGTATTTTTAGCTCCTTCCAGAAAGGGCTCCCTGGGAGGAAGTTAATTTTAAAGTACATGTTGATTTTAGACAGGCAATTGGGTTTCCTTCTTTCGTGGTTCAGAGGAGAGGCACATAATCCCTTTGACGCATCTTCAGAAAGAAAGAAAGTCCCTTCAAGAAAAGCAGTGGTCTCAATGGAAAGGCCACCCCCTAGATGGTGGCCTGTCCCCAGGCCTCCTCCACCGTGAGCCCAAACTGTGGATGGGAGGCTGAAACAGCAGAGCTGACTTGCATAACCCTGTGCCTTTCTCCACAGAGAAGGGGCCACCTGAGGCAGCAACGGGTCCCGGAGCTGACGGGCAGCCCACGCCACCCTGGATCACCATGGCCCGGCAGAAGAGGCGAGGGGCCCCTGACCAGCCGCCAAGCCAGGAGGACAAACCCGGAGTACGAGCGCTGAAGTCGGAAACAGGAAAGCAAGCCAAGGCACCCGAGAGAGCCCAGGTGCCCCAGGTGCCGACTGCAGACCCTTTTCTGTTGCTGAGGCCCAGGAGGGGGCAGCTGACCTGGGCCGGGACTCTCATGAGGGGCCCTCACGTCCCACACAGGCAGCGCCCATACCTGCACCTGCAGAAGCTGCTGCTGGGCGGCTGAAGTCAGTGAAACAAAAGCGGTTTTGTGCCAAATGATAGGCTCTGTGGCAGAGCTGTGTGCCGGCTTTCTGCATGTGCTGGGCTAGTTAGGAACGCAGAGAAGCGTGGAATCGCTCAGGCGGTGGAGACAGCGCTCTGCTCCTTGCCTCCTAGGCAACGCAGCTCAGCATCTGGACAAATGGAGTGAGGTTAAAATAACTTCTCTCCCAGACACGTAGCAGCGATGTCAGTTGTACCCCCACAGCTCCTCGTGCGGTGATCAGTGATCCCTGCTTGTGGCCCTCATGCTGGCCAACTGCTGGGGCACCTTATTCCTTATTTCTCCCCAGGGATGTGTGGCCGGAACTTGGGGTTCCTTCTTGCCCTCTGCACTGTAAATAGCTTTCACCACCACACACAGCTAGAAGCAAGCCAGGCTCCAGCTTTTGGGTCTCCTCGATAGCCACAGGAATAAGCTGAGAAATCCGTAAGCGTGTTTCAGCCCTGCCAGGAGAGCCCAAGCCTGCACCCGCTTCCCTCCTTTTCCCCACAACTCAGTTGCACCCAGACCAGAAGGCAAGCAGGCAGGCTAGGGGATTTGTACAAGAAGTGCTAACCCCCTGGAGTGTGTGTGATCCTGCCAAGTGTCCCGAAAGTCAAGAAATCATTTCCAAACCATTTTGACTGCCATGTGCAATCCCTGCCATCCAGCATCTGGTGCTAAGGTCATATTTGGGGGACAGGGAAGCCACAATATACATGTGGGCCAGGATCAGGCTGGGTCCTTGTCTGAGCTCCAGCATCCTGCTGCTGAATGCCAGCGAGGGGAAGCAGCAGAGCTCACCACAAGGTGCCACCAGTGCAGGCCATCCTGGGAAAGGCCCCTGTGACTCATGCACCTGCAGTGTGTTTGTCTCGCTCCCAGTGTGCAGGACTGACAGTATGTGTCTTTCTTATGTCCCCACAGGAGCCTGTGAAACATGTTGACTTTGTCCGCAGCAAATCTTTCCTGATGACCCCTGCTAAACCCATGGTGACCCAGAAGCAGGGGGCCAAGCTGAGCCTCAAGGAGGGGCTGCAGAGGGGAATCTCCCTGTCACACCAGAACTTGGGTATGACATCGGCCTGTGTTACCAAGCCCTGTGGATTCATGGCCCTGGATGGTTCCTGCGGTCTTGGTTTGTTTTGTTTTGTTTTGTTTTGTTTCATTTGTTTTGCTTTGTTTTTGAGACAGGGTCTCACCATGTAGCTCAGGTTGGCCTTGAATTCCTTACGTAGACCAGACTAGCCCCAACCTCATTTCTCTTTTTTGTTGTTAGTTTGAATTTTGGTTTTTGGGTTTTTTTTTTTTTTTTCTGTTGTTTGCTTTGTTGAGTTACTTGCCACATTGAATTTTCCCTGAAGTGTTTATTAAGATATAATTCACATGCCATAAAAGCCTGCCTAAGTGTGTAATTTAGTGAGTATACATACGTTGCTGGTGTCTTATGTACAGAACATAGGCCCTAAGCTTAGAGCACTTCCCTCGTACTTAAAAGAAGCCTCCCAGCTACTTGACCTCAATCCCCATTCCCACCTCTAGCTCCAGACAGCTGCTGATTTACTTTCTCTCTAAAGATTTGCATTTTTGGAACATGTCTTAAAAATGAAATCATAAAATATCTGTTCTTTTATATCTAATTCCTTTTGCTGAGCAGAGTATTTTTGATGTTCATTTCTTGTTGCATGTGGAAGTATTTTTTGTGATGTGCTCGAGACTGAACTGCGTCTCAGATGTGCTAAGCTGTCTGCGTCTATGCTTCATCCCAGCCCTTTCTGGCTTTGTTTTGGTTTGGTTTGGTTAACTGGGGGTTGAACTCATGACTCAAGCATCTACCCGTCTACTCTTCTAGCGAGCTACTTCCCAACCCTTGTATTTCTTGAATTTTATTTATTTTTCATTGGGGTAAGAGGTACACAACAAGGAGCTCGCCTTTCTGTCCATTTTAAGTGGATGTTGAAACAGCACTAAGTTCAGTCACTTGTTGATGACCTGCCCAGCGTTCCTGCAGTTCCACACCATTTCCTACTGTGTACCACAGAGCTGTTCAGGAGGCTCAGAACCCTTTTTACCCATATTCTGTGCCTCAGTGTCCTTGACACACGTCCACACTAATGAAGTTTCTGTTGGGAACGCAGTTAGGATCTTGGCTTGTATTTAGAGAAATGCAGGAGGCTTCCATGAACACCCACACCCTGCCTTGTGTTTCTGCTTGTCCCCTTGCAGCAGCTCAGGCTGCGGCGATGACGGAGAAGGAGGTGCACCAGCTGAAGAGAGCCAGCTACGCCAGCGCAGAGCAGCCCTCATGGATGGAACTGGCCAGGAAGAAATCCCAAGCTTGGAGCGACATGCCCCAGATCATAAAATAGGTTGGCAGCAAGCTGACGGAGAATGTCTACTCCCTTGATGGGCCACTTAGTTTAAAACTGCCAATAAATCATAGCAAACAGACTGTGCAACTTAAGATTGATTACATCACCAAGTTATGACAACCTTGGGGAAGAGGAAGGAACCAAGTAAAGCGAACAGAACAAATACAGCCATAACCCTGGACCAGACAGGCCCCAACAAAAGCCACATTGAAAAAAATCCAAGAAGGAGTCCCTGTGCCCAGGGGCATGAATGTGAACCTTTCAGAATATCCTGGGAAAAAGAAGCCCCAGATGAGGCAGAAAACAGAAAGGAAATGTGGATTTATAAATCCTCATCCTGAAAGGCCCACACCGGAGCCATCCCGGGAACGCCCCACTTGTGCTTCTGCTGAAGATCAGCCCGTGTCTGACCGCTGTTTTGTCTGTCTTCTCCTTTTGTGTTTACTACTAGGCATGACATTTGTAATAGGGGTGCATTTCCAAGTGCACCTACAGGACCATCTGATTTCCTGAAGATAGCTGCACTTAAGGAGGAGAGAAAGGACCGTGTAGGGCTCGTCGGCCCATAGACTGTTTTCAAAATAATTTTTAAACTTTTCCACTCTGCCTCTGTGTCCTCCGCCACTGCACAAAGCATTGCCTGTTTAATAAAAGCTTTCGGACATGCCTCGGTTCTGCGTGCAAATGTTATTTCTGCTCACAGAGAACTGCTACTTGGAGTTAAAAGGCAAAGCATGATGTTTTTTGGGTTGGTTGGGGATTGAAATTTTTTGAGACCTTCCCCTATTTTGGGGAAGTCTAGTTTTGGAAGACAAAAGATAGCAACGTTTTTATGTTTGTGGTAGGACACAGTAAAATTATTTTTTAAAAATTTAAAAATTGTTCTTTAGCATCCAATGCATCAAATCTACACATTCTCATTGAAAACCAGGTTGTGGGTGTAGTGTGTCCAGTGAACCACAAATGAAATGCAGAACGTGGAGAAGCCAGGCAGAAGCATTTCCCTGGAGTCGCAGAGTTGTGTCCCAGTTATACAGTACCACTGTACTTTTTGAAAACAGTTTCTGTGTGTTCTTTTGAACAAGCCGGTCTCCATGGAAATTGGTACAGCTGGACTCAGAGTCGGTTCAGTGTCGTACACTGTAATTTGATTTCACGGATCCTAAGGACTGCTACTTTTATTTATTCTTTCTAAAAATTCTTTTTTCTAGTCTTTAGTACTATACAACTTTGTAGAGTCGACCCTTATTGAAAAAAGTCCAAGGACAGATTCCCCCCTCAAGCAAATTGATTGTGCTAATTGCCTTTTCTGAGGGAAGCTCCTGGGTAAATGGGGGGCGTCCGCTGTAGAAATGGGGGCAAAGAGCAAGCCCTATAGAAAGGAGTTCATCCTCAGTTTTCCCATTAAGCATCTAAATGGAAATACCAAGTTGTAAAGTTGGGAGTCAGTTCTGTTTCAATGGGATAGGAATTTAGGGTCTGGAAGGGGCAGAGAAGGCTTCCGGGGTCAATCCTAGTTCTTCCAGCGAGGAAGCCAGAGGAAAGATCTTTGGGAAGGGTGCAAGAAAAGAGGGGGACCAGAGCAAGGTGAGCAACAAAGTGTTAGGAGAGGAAAAGGTTAATCCACTGTCTAGGAAGCTCAGATGGGAACAGGGGTGGCCGTTGGCATTGGACTCCAGAGGTCACAGCTGAGCTTGACAAGAGCCCTGTGCGTGGAGTGCGGGGGACAGAAGTGAGGTAAAGGTGCCAGCTAAAGCCAGCTCGCAAGAAATCGCCTGTGAATGAGAGCAGAAGAAATGGCAGTAGCTGGAGGAATTGTGCGGGAGCACTTTTATTTGTTTGTTAGAGCGGACACACAAGAGCAAGCTCGTGTGTGGGTGCAAATAAACTTGCAGGAGAGAAGAGGAAACTGCTGATCAGGGCTTCTGGAAGGGTGGCTCACCTACAGACCCGCAGCTGTGCACTGCTATTATTCCTGGAGACCGGAGCCCCAAGTTCTGGTCCAGCTGCCGAGTGACCGCAGTTGCCTGCTCCACGCCCGCCCCACTGCGTGTGGGCACCACCCCTCTGCTGACCTTGGTTCCAGTGTGAGTGCTGTGCTTTCATTCAGGGAAAAGTGCGTGGGGTGTCACTTGGATGTGCAGACTCCAACAGCCACAACACGTTTCCTGCATGGATGTGGTGTGTGACCCCAGGGTCCCTTTTCACCTTGATGAGCTTCACAAAAATCCACTTAGACGCCAGCTGATTCTGTGCACAGGAAGGGCTGGTGCTTCTCTCGGGCCTCATGGGCCTTCTGGCTCCAAGCTGCCTTTGCACTTGGGAATTGTGCCTTCCTAGTGGTGGCCACTGCCTTTCCTCACAACAGACAGGGCCACCGGTGCAGTCTGCAGAATTCCTGACATTCTTAGTTTCAGATGGATTTGGAAGTGGAATCCCAAGGAGGAGGCGCACCCTAGAACCACAGCCCTTCCTGGCTTCCTAGCCCGCGGGCGTCAGCACCCCCAGCAGGACAGATTTCCCTTGGTTGTCTCAAGTACCCATTTACCATTCTTCAGGCTTTAACAGGGAGCTCTTTGAAAGAAAAGGAGTCATCTCATGGAGGAGAGTTGTGGTAAATAACATTAACTCCACCTCCTTCAAGCCTGCTCTTTAATAAATGGCTCGTTCACAGTACTCGGACTCCCTAGTACAACTCAGCAGCCATGTGAATGAAATTTCTTAGGATGGGTTTCTCCGGCCCCAGCCAAGCTGTCAGAGGGTGGCAGCCCCGCGGACGTATTGCGAAGACTGCAGCCTCATGAGAGATCCTAGGCCAAACTACTCAGCGGGGCTGCTCCCGAGCCCAGGTCACTGAAACTGTGAAGTGGTGTGTGCTATTACCTCAAGCCAGTAAGGTTTTGGGCATAACTTGTTACACCGCAATAGCTAACTAATGAAACAGGCTTTCATATTCTTTTTCTGGATCTGAAGGTAAAGTCTCTACTTGTTTTAAAGTTGACATTTTAGTTGAGCTTTGGAATGTATCCCTAAGCACAGTACTAAGATGATTTTTTCGACACCTCCCAAGTAGAGTCTATAACAGCAGCCTGTCATGTGCTGGGAAGCAGGGATACCTAGACTACATGTCAAAGGCCTAGGTCCCCTAGTGTTTTAGCTACTTTTCTCTCATTGCTGGGACAAAATACCCGATGCCCAAAATTAAGGAAAGGAAGGTTTATTAAACTCACAATTTGTGGAAATCTAAGTCCATAATCAGTGGGCTGGAAGACAGGGTGGCCCATGGCAGGAGGCAGCATCTCATGGTGATGGAAAACAAGAGCAAAAGGGGAAAAGCAGAGAGAAGACCCTTCCCCACCCTGGGGCAGGCATAGCGCTCATACCCATAAACCCAGCATTGGGCCATGAATCAATCACAAATCCTAGAAGCCTGTACCATGGCCACATGAGGCTTTGAGAGACATCTAGACACAAACCAGAACACCTAGCATGTTAGTCAGGTTTTCATTGCTGTGACAAACTACCTGAGGGGAAAAAAGAAGGAAAGACTTATTTTGGGTCACGGTTTCAGAGGGTTCAGTGCCAGGCTGGCTGACCCCAGTGCCCTTTGGCCTACGGCAAGGCAGAAAAATCACTGCCTGATGAAACAAACCCACCCACCTTGTAGCATCCGGGAAGCACAGAGAGAGCTGCCTCCAGGGATTCACCATATTTAATTAAGGCCCCCTTCCCAGTACGCCCACAGAGCCATGGATTCATCAGTGGATGGGTCCATGGAGGAGACTAGAGTCCCTGTGCTCCAGTCACTTCCCGAAAGTCCAGTAGTTGGAAACCAAGCCTTCAGGGCAGCGAGCCTTCTGGGGAGCTGCTTCAGATTTAAATCATAACACTTTGCGTAGGGTGGCACTGCTCCTGGAAGCAGATGCCCAGCGAGGGAGTACAACTCCCACCCTTCCCCCATCAGCACACATACTACCTGCATGCAGCACTTGAATGGGTTCTGGCTGGTGGAATGTGGGTAGATGTGATGGGTGCCTCATATACAGGTCCCTAACTTTCCTGAGAAGGTTCAAAGGGGGGAGGACAGCCAGGATGCCAAGCGAGGAGGTCGTCCATGGTAGAGACAGTAGGAAAGGGAGGGAAATATTTGGCTCAGAGACATGGAAGGGCAGCAGAAGAGGTATCTTCAAAAGATATTTGATGGAAGGAGGAAAAAGGAAGTGGCTTATTCTTTCACTCCACAGAGAACAAACTAGAACTTTAAATGAAAGTTGGAAAGAAGGATAAAGGAGCGAGTGTCAACTCCCAGAGTTGTGCAGTGTGGGATAGCTTGCCTGGTCAGGAGAGAGCCCGGCTCTTCCAAGGTGAGCAAGCTGAGGGAGAGCACTATGCTAAGTGTTACGGTCATCACACTAGGATGCCGGACAGGTCTTTGTCCTTGCAAGATGGTGGGCCTGGAAGGCTCCTGGCCCTGCACGGTCCATATCTGGACCCCTACAACATGCAGCATCTTATGGCAGGGGCATTTCACCGACTGCCCTGCACACTCTTGATTACCAAGAAGCAGCTGTCCAGGTGTTCATCCTGCAGCCCGTCACTACCCAGTGTGCTTGGGGAGCTTCTTATGGCCACACAGAGCCCACAAGGCACAAGATGCGGCTTCCAGCTTCCTCTCTGCAGATGTGCTTGACGGGAGGAGGGTACACGCTACTTCCCACCCCGCTCCTGGAACTTTCAGTTGTTCCTGTTTATCTCCCACCTGGAGGGATATATTTATTTATTCCTTGGTGGAGTAGATGAAAATAATCTTTAGTGTGCAGGCATTTGAGGCCCAAATAGCAGAAATAATGGAGGTTGACGGCGTATATTTTGGGTAGTGTGTAAGTGTTTGGACAGTGGTTGGCATTTGCTGTTTGGGCATTGTCCAGCTTCCTTCGTTGTTTCTCCATCGGGAAATATCCTCATTAGCATGGAAATGAAAAGGAGATGCGTTGGTGCTGCCCAGAAGATTATTATAAGCAGGCTGGTTGTCAGGGTGCACTTCGAGAGCTGGCTTATTAACCTCTCCTGAGACACCCTGTGGTATTTGCAAGGAGGCTGGAGGCCTCAGAGCCTGCGTGGTCCTCCCTGCTGAGCCACTCATTTGACAGCTGCTGTTACAACTTCTGTTGCAGAAAACAAGTTTCACTTTTAGCCCACTATCCAGAGAAAAACAAGTTGTTCCTGAAAGATTCCCCCTGGGGATGAGAATTCTGGTACTGAATTTAGGAAAATGCAGAATTTTCTACTGAGACAAAGAAAACTAGAAGCAGATCACTGGGGAGTCCCTGAAACCCTAACTTTCAGAGGCAGAAGCCTTTGCGTTTAGATTCTCGACCTTTCTACCCAAGGAGGGGACAGAAGGAAATGATTGGGTTCATTATGCAACAGCCCAAACACCCCATCAACGGTCTCATCTGTGAAGGTTAGGTGGCCCCAGGTAGGCTGCCTGGACTCCCATTGGGACCAGAGCAGGAGGCAGAGGTTGGACACCTGCAGCGATGCTGAGCTAGGGCATCCTTGACCCCAGGAACCTCGGCCTCAAGCTGTCCTGTCTCCTCAGGGCCCTGCCCACCTGAGAGCTGAAATACTCCCGGCACTCGAGGCGCTCACAGAGGAGGCACGGCT